CTGACAGCTCATCCAGAGGTCCTGAGTTCGATTCCCAGCAACCACATGGTGGCTCACAACTATCTGTAATGAGATCTGGTGCCCTCTTCTGTCGTTCAGGAATATATGCAGACTGTATATGTAATAAATAAATCTTAAAAATAAATAAAATAAATCTTTAAAAAAAAGTCTCCAAGGTACATAAAAAACTGTTAAATTCAATAATAAAGCATAGGGACTGGAGAGATGGTTCAACACTTAAGAGCACTGGCTGTTCTTCCAAAGGACTCAGGTTTAGTTCTAAGCACCAACATTCAGCTGTTAACTCCAGTCCAGGGTATCTGAAACCCTCTTCTGGCTTCCTCAGACACCAGGCATGCATGTGGTGTGCAGACATCCTTGCAGGCAAAACACCTATACACAAGACTAACCTGACATTATGTCACCACTGTCACATCTGTCGGTTGAGACAGCTGCCCAACTCCACAGAGAGCTAGGGTGTCAGAGGAGAGATTCTCCTTTTCCTGCTTGAAGTCTGAGGGACATTTGTGGAATTATGCACAGTTCAGGAAAGACCGCTTTAAGTTGAGCTATCTTATTTGCCAGGTCTGAAGTTTTAGTAATAATTAAAAAATACAAGAAACTAACAAACTTAGATGAGCCACTAAGGCCTTTCCCAAATAGAGTAATTGATTAAACTGGTTTGTCAGCGAGGTGATTTTTAATATTTTAATTTCTGGAAAGCATTTGATTGGTGTCTTTCATGGTATTCTTAAAGAAATGAAACACAAGCAGCTAAATTTAATTGGTGTTAAAACTGGATGGATGACTGTGTACCTGAGGATCGCAAGTTAGAAGATTTCTGACTTCATTTCTTTGAAAATGAGCCTTTTTACATTTTATTTTCGGTGGTGGCGCACGCCTTTAATCCCAGCACTCGGGAGGCAGAGCCAGGCGGATCTCTGTGAGTTCGAGGCCAGCCTGGACTACCAAGTGAGTCCCAGGAAAGGCGCAAAGCTACACAGAGAAACCCTGTCTCGAAAAACCAAAAAAAAAAAAAAAGGAAAAAAAGGATTTACATTTTATTTTTATTATTTGGTGTGTATAGGTACTTTGTCTTCATGTATATGTATAAGTGTAATACATGTGGCCCACAGGGGCCAGAAGAGGGTGTTGGATCCTCTGGAACTACAGCCACAGATGCTTATGAGCCTCCATATGGGTGCTGGGAATCAAATCCAAGTCCTCTGAAAGATAAGCCAGTGCTTTTAACCACTGAACCCTCTCTTCAGCCCCTAGGATGAGCCTTCTTAAAAGTAACTGAGGACTGGAGAGATGGCTCAGAGGTTAAGAGCACTGGCTGCTCTTCCAGAGGTCCTGAGTTCAATTCCCAGCAACCACAGGGTGACTCACAACCATCAATAGTGAGATCTGGTGCCCTCTTCTGACACACAGGCACACCGTATAATTAATTAATAATTAATAAATAAATTAAATAAATAAATAAATAAATTTTAATTTAAAAAAAAACCTTCAAAAGTAACTGAGAGCCAAGTCTGGCAACTCATTCCTGTATTCTCAGCACTAAGAATATTGAGACAGGAGAATCACAACGGGTTTGAGAACTACATACTAAGTTCCTGGCCAGCCTAGGCTACTGGGTGAGACCCATTAAAAAAATAAAAATAAAAAGGAGCTGATATAGAAGTTACTAGAATTCTGATCTTTAAAGCTTTACTTTTAACACCTAGCATGATAGTGCACATCTGTAATCTCAGCACTCCAGAGATGAGGCAGGAGAATTGTTTTAAAAGTTCAAGGCCAGTTTAGGAAGCAAAATCATGTCTCAGAATATAAGTAAAAACCTTCAGGTGAAATTTGTTTGGTTTGGGAGTAGGATTTGTTTTGGATTAAGATTTGTTTTGGATGTTTTTGTTGTTGCTGCTGTGTGTTTTGAAACTGTTTTCACACTGTACCACAGACTGAACCTAATATATATATGTACACACACACACACACATAACAGCGCCTGGGTTGGCCTTGAAGTTACAGTGATCTTACTTCCTCAGCCTTTGAAGTGCTGGGATTACAGAGACATGAACCACCATGTTAACTGAAAATGAAATCTAATAAGTTAAAAATTTAAACCATATCTAAAAACAAAATCCTATCTACCTACGAAGAAGAGAATATACAAATATGGGATCAAGGAAGTATTTTATAAAAGCAATTCAAGAAAAATTATTGTAGGTTGTAATTAATATAGTCTTATAGGATTCCTAGAATTAATAGGCTCTTGATTATAAAGTTTATGCCTACCACAAGGGAGATAAAGATGAGAATCTCAGCCTAGTTTGTGTTGGTCAGATCAAGTCTGAAGCATATTAATTTGGTGCATCATCTTATGCTCTTCAAAGAATGTTGGAAAGGTCAGTCTTGTGTAAGATTTTGAAAGATGTAGAACAAAGACAGATTTTATCAAGTGCTTTTGCAGCTGTATGAGTAGATTCTGTCAACACACACTTTTAGCCAAGCAAAGAAACTGGCAAAAGAATCATGTCAAGAGAGTATGGTACTTACTTAAATGATAGCATGTTTGTTCCTTCCTAGTGCTGCAAACAGCGCGCACGCGCGCGCACACACACACACACACACACACACACACACACACACACACACCTGTAATGCTCTCCTAACATATTAAAAAAGTAGAAAGTTTTCACCAAGATTGTTCAGTGGGTAAAGGCATGTGCCGCCAAGCCTGACCACCTGAGTTCAATGCTCAGTACCAACATAGTGGAAGAAGAGAACTGATGCCATAAGCTGACCTCTGACCTCCATACATACAATGGTGGGCACACATACACAAGCACTAAATTAAATGTTTTAGAAGGTAGGAAGGAAATCCACTGTAATTATCCTAAATAACTGATACACTTCTGTATCATGTCAGAGTATAGGTTATTTAGTGTGGTTCCCTTCCTTACTTCCAGCCAACTATGTACTTATTGACATCTTCCATTATAATTAGTCCAAGCTTAGTAAACTATGTTTTAGAGGTAATTTGTATAGAATTACTTAGTGCAGTAATTACATTGAAGTATTGTATGGTGTAGGTTTTGAGTGTGATACTCGCCCCATTTTTCTAGCTGGGCAAATAGAGTTTCTTTTCCTTCCAGCCTTCTATTCTACTCTTTTGCAAAAGTTATAAAATAGGGCTAGCAAGATCGCAGTTAAGAGTACTTTGCTGCTCCTCCAGAGAACCCAGGTTTAGTTCCCAAACCCCACATTGGGCAGCTCATAACTGCCTGTAAGTATAGTGCCAGGGAGTCCAGCACCCTCTTTTAGCCCTCACAGGCACCTGCACAGGTGTGGCTGGCAGACAGAAATACATACATATACATAAATAAGAAAATAAACCTTTAAGTGTTTAAAGCAGATGAAATCTATAACTGACCTCTTCATTTCTTTTGCTATAAGAATAGTGATAATGATATAGCAGAAGCCTAGAGCCAGAGTCATGACAAGATCATTTTAGTTTGTAATAAGTGTTGTGAAGGAAATAGCATGAAGTGAAAGAGTAATGGAGGAAAAGGGGTTACTTTGGATAAAGTAATTTAAAATGAAATTTTTGTTCAAAAAATAGTTACAGATCTTGATGTCTGTCTGGGAAAATGAGGACATTTAATAAACATAAGAAGGTACAAACAGCCGGGCGGTGGTGGCGCACGCCTTTAATCCCAGCACTCGGGAGGCAGAGCCAGGCTGATCTCTGTGAGTTCGAGGCCAGCCTGGTCTACAGAGTGAGTTCCAGGAAAGGCGCAAAGCTATACAGAGAAACCCTGTCTCGAAAAACAAAAAAAAAAAAACCAAAAAAAGGGGTGCAAACAGTCTGAACTATTTATAAATCTGTTTTTAATAGTGTTCATGGTACGACTTTGATTTTATATTGATTTTAAGTCAGAACTGACTTAATGTGGTCACTGTTAGGTTTCAGAAGTCCTTTATATCTGTTTTCTCTGGTAATAAAACAGATAACTTGCATCTATTGTAGTTGATTTGACAGGCATGTATTCAGTGCTTCACACCTGTCAGGTCCTGTTCTATGCATTGGAAATAAATAAAAATGAAATCTAAAACTAAAGTAGATTTTAAGGATAATTTAGGATAACTAAGGATAGGTGACCTATCATTGACTTTAAAATAATATGTTGGTGGGCATCATGGCGCACCGCACGCCTTTAGTCTCAGCACTCGGGAGGCAGAGGCAGCAGATCTCTGAGTTCAAGGCCAGACTGGTCTATGTAGTGAGTTCCAGGACTGCATAGCCAGAGCTACGTAGTGAGACCCTATCTCTAAAAGGCAATAGTAATAATAACATCAACAACAATATGATGTGGTCATTATGAGAAAATTTCCTCACTGGCATTAATGTTTTACAAATATATCATGCCTCCTTTAAAATTAATTGTCTTTACCAAACTTTCCTAGTCTAGTGGAATTTGCATTCTAAATGGAAAGCAAGCATAGGCACATGAAAAACAAAGCAAAACAAAGATCAAGCTGTTGCATTAATTACTACATAAGTGAACAGTGAAAGATCACTTTCCATTGGGTTCTTTGTTAGAAAATAAGAATGTTCATCTTAGAGTATGAATAGGTGGAGAAATGAATGGTGCTGAGTTGGGGACAAGTACAGAAGGGGAAACATTGAAAGAGATGGGATTAAACCTGAAGGACATGGATAAGTAGGCTTGACTGAGTGAAAGGTTTGTATTTGTAACTAGTAAAAGATAAAGCAGAGTCCTCATATGCAACAGGATTTGGGCTGTATATAATAGTGGTATGTTTCTATAACCCTCAATTTACCATCAATTATTAGGTAAAGAGGTTATCACAATATAGCAATTTCAGTTGTATCATTATTCTAAGTCTTTACATCCCGAAATATGTTCTGTAGATTTTGAGGCCAGAGTCCTACTCAGAGTCTTACTCAGGTTAAATGATGTTTTGTTTTTCAGTTACTTACACGCCAAGTCAATCATCCACAGAGACCTCAAGAGTAATAGTATCCTTCCTGAAACTGGTCTGCGAAGTCTGAAAGCATCCTGACTTTTTCTTCTGCATTTTGTCTTCATGTTATGTAAAAACAGTTCCATGCTAAGTGTAATATGCTGTAAAGAAAATGAGTCGATTTGCATGAGAGTATAATAGAACAGGATTCAACCTGATCACATTTCTGTATGACTGGGCCCTGTAGGAAAAGTCTTTATTACAATAGAGCTTTTTATCTTGCTTGCTTTCATTTTATGTGCCCTAGAAAGTGAATATTTTATGGCTACTGCTTTAATTCATCTAATCTTGCTGAGCAGTAACTGAGATATGAAACTGAAGGTTCAAAATTATGTAACAGTGACATGAAGAAAACAATTTCTTTTTTTCTCTGAGTCCAGACAGATCCTTTCTGATATCATTCTTATTCTAATAAAGAACCTGTGTAGCTTTCCCTGATGTGTTAAAGGATATCTGGACCAACTCAAATTAGAAAGTTTCCACATATCCCATAGGCTTAGAAAAGTACCTTAGCTGGGTGGTGGTGGCGCACGCCTTTAATCCCAGCACTCGGGAGGCAGAGCCAGACGGATCCCTGTGAGTTCGAGGCCAGCCTGGTCTACAGAGTGAGTTCCAGGAAAGGGGCAAAGCTACACAGAGAAACCCTGTCTCGAAAAACCAAACAAACAAAAAAAAACACCTTAACCTTATGCTCACATATTTCTAACCCAAGAAATCTTAAAAGCAGGTCATAAAAGCCGAAGAGAACTAATTGTTTAAAACATGTTTGTTGACTTTAGGGGGAAATATGAATTACTATATTTTAAAAAGAAAATCTTACTACAGAGTTAAAGAAACTAGCTCCTTTACCTGAAATCATCAAAACACTTTCTCTAGTACGAAAATGAGATCTATTTTTTTTTCCTTTACTTACTACACTTCAGATATATTTCTTCATGAAGACCTCACGGTAAAAATAGGTGATTTTGGTTTAGCTACAGTGAAATCTCGATGGAGTGGGTCCCATCAGTTTGAACAGTTGTCTGGATCTATCTTGTGGATGGTAAGAATTGAGGCTATTTCTCAATTGATCACATTCTTTAATCCTAAACTAGTGACTAGTTAGTAGAAAGTCACTGAAGGTCTTAACTACAGTATTTTTACAGTTCCCACTATTCACAAGAATCAGTATAGAAGCCAGGCATAGTGGCATATGCCTTTAATCCTAGCCCTCGGAAGGCAGAGGCAGTTGGTATCTGTGAGTTTGAGGCCAGTCTGGTGTACATAGTTCCAGGATAGCCAAAACTACCTAGTGAAACTTTGTCTCAAAAAATAAAAACAAAAACAAAAGAATCAATATTCTTATTTTTATGTAGTCTTTAACTTTTTTCTTGTCTTTAAAAAAATTATTGCAAAATTAGTGTCAATATATTTCAAACATAATACATATATGGTATAAAATGTTTAAATGTTATTGAAAATACTTTGTAGGATTTGGTGGTGCGTGCCTTTAGTCCCAGTGCTCAGGAGGTAAAGGCAGGTGGATCTCTGTGAGTTCCAGACTAGCCAGAGTTAGGTGAGACCCTGTCTAAAAATAAAAATTTTAAAAAAAGAAAGAAAACAACAACTTTATGTTCAAATGGTCTGTATACCCTGCTCTTTTTTTTTTTTTTTTTAAGGTTTGCAGTTTAAGACATGTCTTAAGAGACCTATTCTTAACAGAAAGGCTGTTTCACACTTGTATTTGAGCCTATATTGGAAATAGACCTTCTTCACACTAGAAAGAACTTTATAATTATGGGGCAGTTGGAAGAGGAAAGACAAAAGAAAAAGACGGGGATATTTTTAGTGAGCTTTGTGCTGTCTGCAGAGGTCTGTCTCTCCTTGTTTCTGCTTTGTAGAAAGAGGTTCTAACAGTTGGGATCCCGGTTACTGCAGCAGGCTGTTGAAGAGTCATTTCAAGGAACACTGCTGTGAACCCACAGTGGTTCTTTGTGACCTTTCCAAAGGTCTTTCCTTTGTGAAACCATCTTTTCCTCCTGTCCAACAATCCAAATGACACACTGCAGCTGATTGAATGTAGGAGCACATAGGAGATTCCAACTAGCTGCTGTTAAGCCAGACACACGAGAGAGAGAGAGAGAGTTGTAGCTCTTCTGTCACTAAACTTTGTTTTTGAAAATATAGTTAGTTTTCATTGAAAGCAGGTATTCTCTGCTAATATCTCACAATTGATTTAATATTTAAGTGAATTAGTAAATAATTTAATCATCAGTTGAGTTTTAATATCTTAAATATTCACAGAGGTAGTCCCTGCAGACAAACATTCTGTAGGATCTTTGATAATATTTGAATAAAAGCAATCCTGAGTCCAAAGAATTTTGAAATATATGCTCTAAGTGGAATACAGGTGTTCTAAACATCTTTGTGTAGTTTTAATCTTTAAGTAAATTAATCTGCTCTAATATTTTTGGGTCAACTTATTAGAAACAGAAAAATCAGGAGAGCTTTCGATGCCATATTTGCCTAAATTCCCAGAACAGTATGTAGCAGTCTCCAAGAAACAGATTCTCCAAAGTAGTGGCCCGAGTTTGTGTAGTGAGCCTAGGGTTAAATCGAGTGTGCTTTCTTGGATGATGTCTAGTGAGCCTAGGGTTAAATCGAGTGTGCTGTCTTGGATGAGTGATGAAGATACCACAAGTGGCGAGGGGAAGAGGCAGGAGAGCTGTGCTCAGGCCACTAACTTCAGAGTTTCCTAACCTTCCTTGAGTCTCCTCATTGGAAATGTTAGGTCAGAGTAGTCGATGACAAGATCCTTTCTTAGCTTCCATATTACAGTTAGCTAAGTTTCTTTTTAAAATTCCTTGATATATGTTTAACTGTTTTAATTTATTAGAAGAGACTATTTGATGGTTGTATTCTGGCTTTCAGGCACCTTTAAGGCACATACTTCTAACAAAGATGGTAGGCAGTGTGTCCCAAGAGGATGGGGAAGGGGCTTTTTGCTTCTGAAATTATAGAAGCAAAAATTTAAAACAGATCACTCACATGCTTCTCTAGGTTTGTTCTTTTTCAAAAGCCTTAGTTTATATAGTTAGTAGAATATTATAAAGTTGTTTATATTTAATTCTGATTACTTTTTTGTTGATAACCCTGGATCAATGAGGTCATCTTTTATTCTACCATGCTGAATTTTAAAAGAACAAGATTAGCCAGCAGTGTACTTCATTGTTTAATAAATCTTTCCAATTGGTATCTGCCTTCAGGAAAAAATGGGATAAGCTGGAGAGATTGCTCAGTCATTGAGAGCTCTTTCTGGCTGTTCTTTCAGATGACTTCAGTTTAATTCTCAGCACCCACATGGCAACTCACAACTGTCTGTAAACTCCAATTCAAGGGCATCTGATGCCTTCTTCTGATCTCCACAGTGCACAGACAGACATATACAGGCAAAACACCCATACACATAAAAATTAAATAGGCTAGGTGTGGTGGCATGCACCTTTAATCCCAGAGGCAGAGGCAGATGGATCTCTGTGAGTTCCATAGCTAGAGCTACATAGTGAAACCCTGTCTCAAAATAAATAAGTAAATAATTTTCGGGTATGTGGAATATTCACAGCCTAAAATAATAATTGGTCATAAACCAGGTTATGTGGTCCTCTGAATTATTTACAGTAGTCTTTTCTACTTTTATTTATATCTTAGAAGAGAGAAATTTATATAAAAATTTTTGTAAATTAAAAAAATTGAAGATTATCACACATTTCTTCTAAATAGATGACATTCAACTTTTCATCAAATCATCTACCAGCAGTGAAAGAAAAGTAGATTTTAAAAGACAGTTCTCAACTGATCTAAACTCTGCCCGGCCAGAAAGACTACTTTGTTACCACGTTACTAAAACAGCCGCTGTCAACAGAGTGTGTGACAAAACAAATAAGAGAAAACCCTCCACCCAGTCCTTTGACTCTTGGGGTGTCCCATGGGTCTGCCTTCAGTGTTCCTTCACGTGGGCCGACAGCAGACGCGTGTGGAACTTTGAAGCATAGTAAAGCGTGGGTCCTACTTGTAGGTTCTGATGGTCTCTGTTGGACTCAGTGTAGGCAGCACTGAGCAGGCTCCCCAGACAGTTCTGACTTGCTGCTACAGTAGAGTACTGTTATTCCTCAGCAGATACTTACTTGCCGCGACCAGGAACTTTGTCCTTCAGCTCTTTTTGCAAAGTTTCATTAATACCATTTACCACTTCTTCAGTTCCTTTCTAACAAAACAGTATAAGAGATGCAAGATGAAGGAAGAAACCCACTACTTCTTCACCTATCATTAATGTAAATGAATTATTTTATTAATATTAATAATTAATATAAGTAAGAAACTGAGTTGTACAGCATAGTGACTAAATTACGTTAAAATCTGGTGAATATGATTTGGTCTTTGTTTGCCCTAGAAGCAACAACTAGAGTTTTCCAGTAAGTCACCCTGTTGTGTGTTACTCTTGTTAGTAAAGTTTTTGTTTTATTTTGTTTTTCAAGACAGGGTTTCTGTCTGTGTAATGTAACAGCCTTGGCTGTCCTAAAACTCACTCTGTAGACCAGGCTGGCCTCCAACTCACAGAGATCCACCTGCCTCTGCCTCCCAAGTGCTGGGATTAAAGGCGTGCGCCACCACCGCCCAACCAGTAAAGCATTTTTTATACCACACATTTATGATGTAACTTGGAAAGATATTAATTGCTTGTGCCTACTCCCAAGTTTTTTGTAAGTGCAAATCTAGTATTTCTTTGTGAATCAAGAAGAGGAAGTGGAGACTAACTCTGATAGGATAGTGTTGAGAAATGGTGTTTGTTCAGAAAGAGGATTGCTGATAAAATTATATAAAACCATAGTAATGCATCAAGGAAATTTGGCTTGAGCCACCTTTCAGAATTTATAAAGCAGGTTTTTTTTTTCCCCCTTTTTCTTAGTTGGTTTTATTTCTTTGACCATTAATAGGGGACTTACATAGTAGAAGATTTCTTTAAATAAGGTGTTGCTCTAGTTATCATAGTTTGTATTTCAGTCTTTATTCAGCTGAACTTAAGGATAAAACTAGAATTTTTTTTTCCTTATCTAACAGGCACCAGAAGTAATCAGAATGCAAGATAAAAACCCATATAGCTTTCAGTCAGATGTATATGCATTTGGGATTGTTCTGTATGAACTAATGACTGGCCAGCTACCTTATTCGAACATCAACAACAGGGATCAGGTAAATATTTATCATCTCTGGGTGTTATTTTAGTGTTTTGCTTAAGGCTTCGGTTCTTTGTAGGAAGGAAGTCTGGAAATGGAGGTAAACATGAAAGATAGAGCTCTTGATCTTTGTAATCAACTTTAGAAAATGTTTGTGTGCATTTGACAATTGTAAGGCTTTTGCTTGAAATGTTGGTCATAAATGTTACAATGGAGTAAAATCCCCAATTTTATGACTAGAAATTAGAAGTATAACAATTGAGGTAATACCTGTTTCTTGGTCATAGCAGAGCTAAAAGAATGAACTCTGGAGCCTGTTGTGGTAGTGTATGCTTTTAATCCCAGCACTCAGGTGGCAGAGGTGGACAGATCTCTCTTTAAGTTTGAGGTCAGGCTGGTCTAGAGTTCCAGGCCAGCCCTGTCTTCTAAAAAAAGAAAAAATGAACTTTGCTGTGATCACAGGTATACTTTTATCCTTTGATTGTATCACAAGTTGTACTGTCAGAGCAAGGGTTCAGCTATGAACATATTTGTATCCAATTCTTCCAGAATTGTTAAGATGTTGTTTAAAACACAAAAACAAAGCACGGGTGGAGGAGTGATTGAGGAAAACATCCTGATACCCACTTCTGGCTTCAGCATTTATCCAGGCCAGCACACTCACATGCATACACACGTGTACACACACACACACACACACACACACACACACACACACACACCTACAACAAAAAGGGGGGTAGGAAATGGCTGTTACATCATGTTGTATCTTTTCTCTAATGAAAATTCCAGCAGAAAGGTAAATTTTTATTTTTATTTTGGTTTTTCAAGATAGGGTTTCTCTGTGTAGTTTTGGTGCCTGTCCTGGGTCTTACTCTGTAGACCAGGCTGGCCTCGAACTCACAGAGATCTGCCTGGCTCTGCCCCCGAGTGCTGGGATTAAAGGCGTGCGCCACCACCGCCGCCACCACCCAGCCAGAAGGGTAAATTTTTACTTCTTCCTTTCCTAAGTTCTCATTCTCTGTTTCTTCCTTCCAAAAGATGCCAGCCAGTATCAGCTCACAAAGCTTTGCTCCTCTGTGTTTTCACAATAAATTCCCTTAGGTTTTCTTTCTTTATTTCCATCCCTTCTCCCACTCTCTCTTCATCTTTCAACAGAATAGTATTCTGTAATCCTGGCCGAACTTGAGATGTAGATCTTCCTGCCTTCGTCGACAGAATATTGGGAATTACAGTTTGTACCACTGATTTCAGTTTACTAATGCTAGAAAGTGAATAAGTTGTCTTTACTTAAATTACCTTAGATGCTTCAACATTTTAAAGTGTGTGTAGATGTACGTGTGAAGAGTACAGCAATGGCAATTAAATTGTTCATTAGAAGAAGATAGTTACCCATGTAAGCAATGATTAAGAGTATTTCTGCTATATGCTGTGGTTTGCATAATAATCACATAAAAGACTGCTTTAAAATGGAGATTCTAAGCCGGGCGGTGGTGGCGCACGCCTTTAATCCCAGCACTCAGAATGCAGAGGCAGCTGGATCTCTGTGAGTTCAAGGCCAGCCTGGTGTGCAGAGTGAGTTCCAGGACAGCCAGGACTACACAGAGAAACCCTGAAATGTATCCAGTAAAATCTAAAGACTAGCCCCTGTTTAAATATAGAAAAGCTCTACAGTGGCATGGTTCCTTTTTTTCTCTTCAAGCTATTTGTAGTATGCTCTAACCCCTCATGGAATTCTGTCCTAATGTAGCATACTGTTGTGCTTTTAAGGCTTTTTTATTATGCATTATATATCTTCAAGAAAAAATATGAATGTAAGGTTAAATTGAGAGTTCTAAATTTTTTTTCTTAAGACTTTAAGCTCTGGTGAGTTATTTTAAAATGCTGGGTTCTGCCATTGTTATAGTTTTTAATGTATAACTGATAAATTTTATCACATAAAAGGTAAAAATTGGCCGGGCAGTGGTGGCACACCCCTTTAATCCCAGCACTCGGGAGGCAGAGGCAGGCTGATCTCTGTGAGTTTGAGACCAGCCTGGTCTCTAAAGCAAGTTCTAGGAAAGGCACAAAGCTACACAGAGAAACCCTGTCTCGAAAAACCAAAAAAGAAAAAAAGAAAAAAGAAAAGAAAAAAAAGAAAGAAAAAGAAAAAAAGGTAAAAATTGAAAGTACATAGTTTTGGCTTGTTATTTGTTCCATTTTAGACATGGGGTCTGGCTGTGTAGCCCAGCCTGGTCTTGCACTCCTGACCTTCTTGCCTCTGCTCTCCAGTACTGGGATTACAAGCATGCCTCACCTGCTTAACAGAAATGAGGGGGCGGGGGTGGCATGTGGAGGCCAAAGGCAGTCTTGGGTATCATTACTCAGATGCTGTTCACTTTGTGTGTTGAAAGAGGCACTCTTGTTGGGCTGGAGCCAGCTGATTAAGCTAGACTGGCTGGCCACTGAGTCCCAGAGATCCACCTGTCTCTCCCTCCACATCACGGGAATTAAAAGTACATGCCACCATGCCCAGCCTTTTTAATGTGGCTACTCAAGCATTTTACCAACTGAGCTGTCTTCCTAGCTCCAAAAGTATGTGTGTTCATGAACACCATGGTGTTTTTCATTTTCTCTTCAATTTATGTATATGTGGGTGAATATAACTTTTTTTTAAAGATTCATTTATTTATTTATTATGTACACAGTGTCCTGTCTGCCTGTATGTCTGCAGGACAAAAGAGAGTACCAGATCTCATTATAGATGGTCGTGAGCCACCACATTTTGTAGCCTGGAATAATACGTACTAGAGTCCATATTGGTAAATGTAAAAAAAAAAAAAAAAGGCCTTTCGTAAAATAGAGGTTAGGTGCAACAGGGAAAATTCTTTACACATACACCTAAGTGGTTCTCTGGCAAATAAGTTTTAAGCTTTATTTTATTGCTGTATATGCATATACATGTGAGTTCCTATAGAGGCCAGAAGAAGGCAGTGAGTTCCCTGGAGCCAGAGTCACAGGTGTTTGTGAGCCACCGGGTGCTTGGGTCTGAACTTAGTTACATCCTCTGCAAGAGCAGCAAGTATTCTTAACCACTGAGCCATTTCTCCAGCCTCTATGATTTAAAAAAAAAAAAAAAAAGGTACATTTGTGATAGACACAGCCCCTGTTTCCAAGGACCACAGGAGAAATTCAAAGGACTTTGCCACAGGCTTGGGGTCATGAAACAAGCTTGCATCTTGTTGGTATGGGTTCCCAACAGTCTGTGATGGGTTAGGAGACCAGATACTAGCTTTGTTTTTTTATTTTAGCTTATACAGGGATAATGTACAAATTCCGTAAGTATACAGTTTGTTAAATTTTCATTGCTGATATATTTGTTTATTAATAAGAGTGTATGATTTGCCTATTTCTCTTCAGATAATTTTTATGGTGGGACGAGGCTATCTATCTCCAGATCTCAGTAAGGTACGGAGTAACTGTCCAAAAGCCATGAAGAGATTAATGGCAGAGTGCCTCAAAAAGAAAAGAGACGAGCGACCACTCTTTCCCCAAGTAAGAAACCCTTCATGATACCCCAGGCTACCAACTAACTAACCTTCACAAGGCGATTTTTAGGGTGATGTGGGCAGGAGAGTGAAGGTACAGTTTGGATTCTGAGTTGCTCTTCCGTGCACAGCCAGATGAGCAAACAGGGCAATGACTTTACAAAGGCTGAGCAGAATTCTGTTTGGGATCCTAATGCAAGCCCTGTAGGGGACTTTGCATTTGTCTAGCAGTTCTCAAACTCTTAAGAGGTATTCTGTCTTCATTTATTTTGTGTATGGGTGTTTTGCTTACATGGATATGTATGCACCACTTGTATACTTGAAGAAAGTCAGAGCCCCTGGAATCTGTAATAGCTGTGAGCTATCATGTGGATTCTGAGAACCGAACCATCTCTCCAGTACTAGCTCTCAACATTTTGATCTTTGAATCCTTTCACATATTTTAAAATAGTTAAAAGCCTTTAAAAATGCCGGGTGGTGGTGGCGCATACCTTTAATCCCAGCACTCGGGAGGCAGAGGCAGGCAAATCTCTGTGAGTTCAAGGCCAGCCTTGGCTACCAAATGAGTTCCAGGAAAGGCGCAAAGGTACACAGAGAAACCCTGTCTTGAAAACCAAACAAAAAAAAACCTTTAAAAGGCTTCTGTTTGTGAAAATAACCATTATGAGTTTATAAACAATGAAAAAGAACAAAACGGTGGTACTGATTTCATTTTTCCCCAACGGTTTTTGTACAGTTAACACACTTGGATTCTTTGTTTTATACTCAGTGTGCTTCAGTATCTTATACTATGTTGCCTCTGACAATTTACTTATAAAAACTCTACTGACAGTTTTGACCTGGGGTTATTCTTGATGGTAAAATAAATAGATTCTAAGTTTTCTGTTCATGCTAGATTTTTCTTATTTTTTAATTTTTATTATTTTAGGCTTTATATTATATATTTATATATTGTTTTATTATATATTGATTTTTAAAATTTTTTTATTTTTGGTTTTTTGAGACAGGGTTTCTCTATGTAGTTTTGGTGCCTGTCCTGGAACTTACTCTGTAGACCAGGCTGGCCTCGAACTCACAGAGATCCGCCTGCCTATGCCTCTGGAGTCCTGGGAGTAAAGGAGTGCACCACCACCACCTGGCTTACATTATATTCTTACTATAACTACATACTATAATGGATTCTTACTTCATGGTACCCCGGGGTATCATGACCTGGTACTCAATATGTAGCCTGAGGTGGCTGAAACTTGAAGATATCCATCTGCCTCTGCTTCGAGTGCTGGGATTAAAGGTATATACCACCACACCTAGCTTAGATCTTTTTTTTTTTCCTAAAATTTGTGTGTGTGTGTGTGTAACATTTGTGAGAGTGCCTGAGGAGGACAGAGGAAGTTATTGGATCCCCCAGAGCCAGAGTTTCAGGTTTGTAATTAATTTTAAATTTGTATTTACCATTTCAAGGATGGCAAATGATCTAAAATACAAACTGAATGACTTATTCAGCTATGTGTGCATATAAAACTTGTGTTACTGTGCTAGCTTTTGACTTTCATGTTTATGGGAAAATACCAGTTTCTCTTTGTTCATTGATTATACTGAAAACAATGTAAAGTCTCAGGTAAAAGCTGGGCAGTAGTGGTTCACGCCTTTAATCCCAGCAGAGGCAGGGGGATCTCTGTGAGTTGAAGGCCGGCCTGGGCTACAAAGCGAGTTCCAGGACAGGCTCCAAAGCTACACAGAGAAACCCTGTCTTAAAAAAACAAAACAAAAAGTCTGAGGTAAAAATCTCATTATAAGTACGATGAGCTCTTAAAGATATTTTTATTCTGCTTTTTATCTCTTGCCCTCTCTTTGTGCCCGCCCCGCCCCCGCCCTGCCTTCCTTCTTCCTTACAGATCCTCGCCTCCATTGAGCTGCTGGCCCGCTCACTGCCGAAAATTCACCGCAGTGCGTCAGAGCCCTCCCTGAACCGGGCTGGTTTCCAGACAGAAGATTTTAGTCTGTATGCTTGTGCGTCTCCTAAAACACCCATCCAAGCAGGGGGCTATGGTGCGTTTCCAGTCCATTGAAACAAACTAAATGAGGGAGACATTAAAGTAAGGTAGCAACCAAAACAAATGAATAGTTTCCCTTATATTTAAATTAACTAGGAACTCTGCTGTACACAGGGGAGCCAAAGAATGTTTGTGTTGAAAAACTTAGGCATTGCTTTCCAAATCTTAAAATCATACTTAACATTGAATTTTCAACGTCAAGGGGTTAAAATACACAAACACTGCTAAACATTTTCAGTGCCTCTTCCAGGGGCTTTACTTCCTGTTCTGACTTTGTTTTGTTCACTTGGTCATCCCTGTTGTTAAACTCTAGGTTTCTCTCTCAGTTGCTCGTGCAGCTTTTATTACCTGTCCCTTGTAGAACATCCAGAGAAAGGGAGGCTCCCTCTCCATGTTCACGGGTGGGGAGTCCCCAGGAGGCTGGCCTCTGTCAGCTAGACAAACTCGATAGAGAATCCTGGGGTTTGTTCTTCCCATTTTCCTGTAGCTGTTTCTTTTTACTACAGTTTAGAAAGTATACAAGTCCTTTATTTCCTTGAAGCAATAGATAATTTCTTTTAATAAATTTTGGGTGTGAGTGACCAAAAATATCAGTCATTGGCACATTTGACCTAGGTAACATGACTTAACTTTGGATTTTTACCGGGGAGTACAAATTAAGGTTCTTCTTAGATGGTATTTATATGTTAAAGATGTCTTACATGTGCAAAAAAGTCAAAGGTCTTTGCAAATGCCTTACCCTTTATTCTCACTCCCTTCCCCAAAAGAAACTACAAAATTCTGAGAATCTTTAGGGTGTCTATTTGCTTTTAGATAATTGGTTGCCAAACAACCAAGTAATTTTTTAAGTTATTATATTAGATTATGCCTACTTTTTTATGTATGTTACAGCAGTCACTTAGCATTGTGTCTCATAACTTTCTTCCTAATACCCTTTGTACAACAAGATCCCCCCCATAAAGAATGTCTGACTCTCTTCTTGCATTTCAGTGTGAAGTCCTTCTAGTGTTTACAGTTTTTATGGATAGAAAATGAGTATAATGTAACCATGATGGAATAGAATTTTCTAGTGATTTGGAGAGAATCTAAAAGCAAAAAAGTAGAATCATGTGGTCTTCTAAAATATCCTGCTATCTCTACTTCATTCATAGTCACCTAGCAACCAAAACTTACTGATAATCAGTTACTCAGTTTAGACTTGTGATAATGCTTAAATACAACCCAAAGCAAAAATAATTATTCAACAGACAGATCATGTTTGCATGATCCTCCTTTGAAAACAATAAGCAGATAATTGGGAAAACTTTAATGATAATTGAGTTTGTAAGTACCACAGATACTCTTCTGAAATACTTTCCTTACTTACATTTTTGTATTTCATATAAGGAAACTGCTTATTATTATGACTTGTCTTTTGTTCCTCACTTGGGTACGTTGAGAATGCCATCGTAATTTTATATACTGATTCATGATTCTAAATATAAAAAGCCAGTACATTGGAATCGGGAGGATCACAACTTGAAGGCAAGCCTGGGCTACATAAAGGCCCTGTCTCAGAAACCCTAGGACTGTGATACAGCTCAGTGGTAGCTGACTTTATAGAATGGGCAAGTGCTTCTATAGTGTTTGATCACCACATGGGAAAAGGAAATGAGAAAAAAAAATCAAACAATGTAATGTATTAGAAACCATCAAAATCATGATTTCTAAATCTTCCATTAACATAAAGATGATGAGTTTATTGTCACATATCATTGCATGTAGCAACGATACAAAATTTTACAAAATTGACATGGCTCATAGAATACCCAGATATTTGGAGCATATGAAACCTAGTATGTGGAGGGATTTTTTTACTGGAGCTCTTTCTGTAATCCCCGCACACCTATCTTACTAGCGTGTTCCTCTCCTCGTTCACTGTCTTCTCGGCACTGCCGTGCCAGTACTCTACCATCTTCATTTGACTCACACACACCCCAGCCTATCCCCCCTGCCTGTCTTCCTCCTCTCTTCTCCTTTCTTTATGAGCGGCATTGGCATTCCTAAACTCTCTCAAGCTGCTCAGAAACTCATGTACAACCATAGAGACCCAAGCATTCCCCCATAGATTGCATAATTGATTTCCCCTTCCACATTTGGCCACAGGATGGCAAAAAAGGAAGAATATTAAAATATGATAGGTAAGGTGTGTAGATCATGTAGATCTAGAAAAATAGGAAGCACTAGAATTAAATCAGTTTCTCTATGGGTTTTTTTTGGGAGGGGGGGGTTAGTGGTGCTATTTTGTTCATTTGTTTTGTCATGAGTTCTAGTTTTCTCATAAAGGATTATACCCTAATGTTCTGTTCTAGACCTTTTTTAATTTTTTTTTTCTAAGTTGTGTGATTTTGGGCAAGTTTCCTAACCATTCTGAACCCCAGGTTGCTCATCTGTAAAACAAATTCCTTGTGCAGCCCAGGCTGGCCTGGGACTTTGGATTTTCTTACCACTGCCTGCCTGCCAAACACTAGGACTGCAAGCATGAACCACTATGCTTAGCTTCCTTCTTTGGTCTTTCAGCTCAACGGTGCCTTGGTTAGTTACTCATTAAGAAGACTCTTTGATGGAAAGAGTGTCTACAGTCCAATTAGCTGTATGCAGAGTAGGAAAGCAAACCGTAATTATTAAAACTTGTTTAGAGAGCTGAGAAAAATGGTAGACCTGTAATCTCAGCAAGCGGAAGAGGAGGCCCCAGAATGGCATGGTCAAGACCACCTTGCTGACCTTCTCAACATGTAATCTTAAGATTCAGTCTACCAGTCATTAGCAATAATTATTTAGGACCAGGCAAGGTAGCATAGAACCTGTAATCCCAGTTGAGGAGGCAAGGTAGGAAGACTTTGTGTGCTGAGGGGCCCACCTGCCTGCACTATGAATTTGAGGCTTGAACTGCAGCATGACATCCAGCTGTGAAACTCCCTGCAGCTGTTATTTTCTTGATACAGTTGAGCTGATCTTCACATGGCATGCACATACACTTGTGTTCTTTTGTGGAGTCCAATGAATTGAGGTTTCAACTAGTGACTGTGTTACAAGGTTTGTAATATCTTTAACTAGTCACCTTTCAGTGAAATTGAAGTGAGCCTTTTCTATCTTGAAATTCTTTGGAGATAACTTTTTAAAATCAGCTCTTGTCCTCCCTCCACAGGAGAATTTGCAGCCTTCAAGTAACCACTCCATCATGGCAGCATCTGCTCTTTATTTCATGTCTTGTGTTCATACAGTTTGTTAACATCAAAACACAGTTCTGTTCCTCACATCTTTTTCTAAAAGATACAAAATTTTTAATGCCTAAGCTCGTGTGGAACAGAGTGGAATTTCTTATTCAACAAAAGAGGGAAGAATGTTTTAGGAACCAGAATTCTCTGCTGCCCGTGTTTCTTCTTCAACACAAATGTCACGTGCACACAAGTCTGCCCATTCCCAGGAAGAAAGAGGAGAGACCCTGAATTCTGCCCTTTTGGTGGTCAGGCATGATGGAAAGAATTTGCTGCTGCAGCTTGGGAAATCTGCTATGGAAAGTCTGCCAGTCAACTTTGCCCTGCTAACTACCAGATCAGTTTGTGGCTGGTCATCTGATGGGGCGATTTCAATCACCAAGCATCGTTCTTGCCTGTTCTGGGATGTGTTGTGGAGTGCTTTCCCTATCCACCACCGTTAACTTCTGAGGGATGGAGTAAATGCAGCATCCCCTTTGTGTAGCGCCTGTTCAGTCCTCACCAAACGTCACAGTGAAGCTCTTTAAATTTCAGTGGAGGGTGAGAGGTGAGGAGAGCCTGTGTTGGGGGCCGAGAAAGGGGGATGCTGCATCTTCTTCCTCACCTCCAGCTCTCTCCCCTCGGGTTGCCTGGCTCCCTGGGCTCTGCCTAAGCACTCGGGCTGGACAGTGCTGGCACACATTGCCTTCTTTCTCACTGGGTCCAGCAATAGAGATGGGGGTTGGGGGATTGCTTCCTCCACAGTGTAGCAAATTCTCAGGAAAATACAGTCCATAGCTTCCTCTCAGCTCTTCCAGTCACCAAATACTTATGTGGCTACCTTGTCCAGGGCACAAAATGCCATGGACAGCATCTAATTAAAAGCCTACAAAACTGCTTACTGACAGTTTTGAATGTGAGAGATTAGTGTAATTTAAATGTAAGGTACAGGTTTTAATTTCTGAGTTTTTGTCTATTTTTATTTTTAATAAAAGAAAATAATTTTCAGGTTTAATTGGAATAAAAGAATACTTCCCACCAGAATATATATCCTGAAAATTATATTTTTGTTAATTGTAAGCAACTTTTAAAGAATGATTATTATCCTTTTCTTTACCTAAAATTGTGGGGAGTCTTAGCATAATGAGTTATTTATACTTTTTAAATTAATGGTACTTGCTGGATCCACACTAACATCTTTGCTAACAATCCCATTGTTTCTTCCAACTTAACGTCTACACTACACCCTACATCCTCTTTCTAGTCTTTGATCTATAATATGCAACCTAAAATAAAAATGGTGGTGTCTCCAGTCATTCTCCTTCCTTTTTTCCCAAGCCTGGTCTTCAGAAGGTTGGGTAATTTGGTAGCTGAGTTCCCTAGATAGAAATAAAACTGTTAGGGACATTGGAGTTGCAGGAAGGTGTGAGGCCTGTCATCGGTTTTTTTTTATAGAACCCTAAATCTTGTCTTTGCACAGATCAAAAGTATAACCGAGTTATAGCTTCCCTTGGCTTTAAGGGTAATAAATTACCATAGTAGCAAAGAAAGTGACTGGATATATTAATGGCCAGTACCTCTCTTATCCAGGAATCTTGAATCTTGAATTTAGAAATGCAAATTAAAAGAGATGACTTAGCAACTACACTATAGCCAAGAACTTGAAAAAAAAATACTATGGAATCTAAAAGAAAATGGAATTTTAAATTATTTCAAGTTTCAAATTATAACGATCCCACTATATATTTAAGCCTATACAAAACAGCTAGATGATTTTTGCTCAAATATCTGTCATCAAAGAAAGGCTATTGAAAATTTTATGAATCCCCATTAATCAGTTAGCAGCAATGCATTTTTAAGTCTTAGATGAGTACCTTAAAAATGTTAGAAACTGAGATGAAAATGATTCATGCTGATATGAAAAATAGCCTCTGCATATGATGTGCCACTCTTTGAAAGGCATTTTTACCCTTTTAAATGCTTTTTAGCATGGCTTTGTTTCCTTTACCCAGGATTAGCTAGAAAGAGCTAGGCTTTGGCCGTCAATGTACATTTAGGTCCTGCTGAGGAGTTAGAGCCTCCCAGGCATGCCTTGGTGCAGGGCCACCTCCTTGCTGGAAGAGGGGACCCAGCAAGCTTAAGGAGGGAGCTTAGCATGTGAGTGGTCTAGACAGAATGCAAAGGGACCCTTCTAACTTTCATTTTAATGTAGGTTGCTATCTCACTTGAAAAGGGAAAGTGGAGTTGATATTAAATGAAGCTGTGCCCAGAAGCCAGGCTCAGGGGATTGCGAGATGTTTTTAATAGAGATTATAAAAAGTAGAAATAAATATTTAAGCCTTCCTTATTTTCTATCTGATACGTTTTTCTTCTTGTTTACAAACATGAGAAAGGTATCCTTTGTGGGTTTTTTCTTTTTTTTTTTATGCTTAGACTGCAGATAATCTTGTTGAGCTCCTAAGGAAATACAAGGAAGTCCTTGTTTGTGCAGAGCACTTTATGAGTAATTGTATAGACAGAATGTGGCTGCTTCACTGTCTTGTAAGGCTGGAGCTGTCGGGCCATGAAGTGGTTGCAGTGCTTCCTGAGGTCTGTTTTGTTTGGGTTAGGAGTGAAGTCTTGGAAAGGTTTGAGAGCAACTATATAGAATTGTTTTTAAATATGTAGTATTCCTGATGGACCTTTTCACCATTAAGCTACAGGACCCAAACTTTTGACACTGAGATATTATTAACCTCAAAATGTAGTTTATAGAAGGAATTTGTGACTAGAGTATCCAGTGTGGTCATTTGTACTTACATGCATCTTCAGCAAATATTCTGTGTAACTGTCAGATTCTGGTTCCTGAACAGCCCATCTCTTAAGTCCATATGTGAGGTCTGGGAGGGCATAATGAGGCATCCTCAAAGATGATCTGATATAAACTGTATGCTAGATTTATGCTGGTACAGGAGAAGGAATTACATAAAGATGTAATTCAGGACTTCAGCACTGTCAACCAGAAACCTTGTAAATACTCCTCAGTCTTGGTGCGGTCCCACTTCTTTTATCACGTGATGTCTTGTCAGGCACTGTCAGAGCTGCTGTCTGTCCCTCTTCAGATCTCACCTGTCCCTACCGCACATCCACCTCCCAGCCTCTTGCAAACCTCAGCATCTAGCTTTAGTTGGAAACACAGTGCAGGGATCAGGTGACCTCTTCAAAAAACTACCTCCTCAGAATGAGGTAATGAACAGTTATTTATTTTAAAGTATGAGAAGTCAGGAGCTCTAGAACATGAAGATGATAGAAGATTTTAACTTTTATGTGTACTTGTAGTTGAGCACTCGTTTTGTCCTAAAGGGCATTATACATTTAAGCAGTGATACTGTTGGAAGATTTTTTTTTTCTTTAAAGGTGTAGCTCAGAGTATCTGTTGTTGGAATTGGTGCCAGAGTCTGTTTAATATATTTCAGAATCTTAACCTTCAGTCAGTTGCATGAAGTTAAATAGTTATGGTAACACTTTGCTAACCATGATATAATTCTACCTTTCAGTAAGTAGGTTTGGCAAAACAGTATACCTTCACAGTGAGTTGGCCACAGCTTTGTCACATGCCCAGATGTTCATCTAAAGAGACTGCCCAGCTAAGAGGGTAGAAGGATGCCCTTTTTATAAGATTCTCTTCTTTGTCTAAGTTGGCATTGTTGTGCTCTAATACCAGCACCTTGACCAGCAGATGTCAGCCAATAAGCTATTTTTAAAACCACAGCCCGAGATGAAAAGGTCACTGTGAGTAGAAACACCAGGTAGCTTACAGGGGTGAAACACTGTAGGGAGGCTCGAGAAAAATACCTTGACAATTTGCCAAATGATCTTACTGTGCCTTCATGATGCAATAAAAAGCTAACATTTAGCAGAAACCAGTGATTTATGAAGAGAACAGCCAGTCTGGTTTAACTCAGCTGTGTTAATATTTTTTAGAGTGCAATTTAGACTGCGAAGATAACTGCACTAAAGAGTTTATAGCCAAAATCACATCAAAAAACATGAGAAAATGGTAAATTTTCAATGAACAAAATTATTTTTTTAAAGCACATAATCCCTAGTATAGCCAGAAATATTTACCACATAGAGCAACTAGGTTGAAAATACAGTTCAGTGACATTTCTAGAGAAACTTTTTCTACTCCCATAGGCTCTTCAAAGCATGGAACTTTTATACACAATGTTTGACATTTTAAGATACTGCTGTAGTTTAGTTTTGAAGTAGTGTGTGCTGGGCAGCAATCATGTTCTAACTCAATGAGAAAAAACACATTGTAGATTTGATTTGTTTCCAGAGAAATGCTGCCAACCTAGACACTGAGTGTTCAGAGTTTGAAGTGTAAACTTGCCTCCCAAGACCTGTTTGCAAATGAAGTTGGCTAGTGCTACTGAGTGCTCTGGTGCGTGGCGAAGACAGGGCTGTCTCTGCGAGTGTCTTTTGTAAAGGGACATTGGAGTAGTGAAAGACTTGGCCAGTGCATATAAACTGGACACTCCATGCTGTGGTTCTTGCATCCTTTCCTCACTAGCCCCAAGAAACTCAATGTTTTCCCCAGTGTGTCCTTTAGCTGTTTCACTCAGATTCCAAGATGAATTGCTGATACCAGAAGGGACTGAAGTGGTTGGTGTATTTGTGGTCCTAATTGCTGGCTCTGGTAGAGTTGAAGATGCTGGCCAGATGCTTGTTCTGTCAGTACACCAGACAATAATTTAATAGTTTCAGATTAATTTATTTCTACTTCCATTTGGGCAGAGATACTTAAACTGAAATTCAGATCTAATTTTTGTCATTTGAAAGGAAACATTAACAGTTCCTTTTTTTTCTTTTCACTGGGGTGTGCAGCGAGGGCCTTATATGCACGGGCAAGGATCCTACCACTGAGCCACATTTATCCACATTTATATAAAATGTTAAGTTAAAACTCTCGCTCACTGTTTCTCTCTCTCTCTTAGGGACACCTAGTTACCACTTTAGTAAAGTGATAAAGGTGAATCCTTTATTTCAGTCTCCACAACTCCAACTATCCCTTTTATTAATTACTCAATCAGTATCACTAAATTGTTTACTTTTATTTAGCCGTTTTGACTAACTGCAGTGATATAACCAGTTGTGCATGAGGACAACAGCCAGTGTGGTGTTGTTTTTTTGTTTTGTTTTGTTTTTTGTGGTGCATTTTTTTGTAGAGAATTCTGTAGATTGAAGTGCTCTTTGAATAGAACTGAAATATATTTATTCTTGTGAGTATCAAAAAATGTTTTGTGCAAATCATTTGCTTTTCCTGGCAGGCTGAGTACATTAGCCAGCACCCATGACTGCTGGTTCCCATCTACAGTGTACACAGGGGAGACAGACGGGAAGTGTGTGAAGTGTGTTTACAGAGCTGGAATGGGGATGGGAGTGATTGATTTAGTCTTATTTTTGCCTTGAAAATCACTGTTGTTTTAAGACCCATGTGTGTTTGGCTGGGCTATGAGTTACATAGGAAGAAACTGCAGACTAGAAAGCTCACAGACAGGCACAAATGGAAGAAAATGGACCAAAATAAGGTAGGGTGACACTTCAATCTGGGACTTAGGAAAAAACTAAAGGTGGGAGATGAACTATAGTCACCTGAAATACAATGTAAGAGTGCAATAAATGTGCTTCTTATTCTAAGCTGTGAACTTTTTTTAAGTCATTCCTTTCTAATACATTTAATGTATGATGTTCCATTGCTGACTAAAACCAGTTATGTGAACATAGGCCTTTTTATTCATGTTAATTACCAGTATAAGCGGCTAACCTTGATGTCTTATTTATCTTCATGTTGTATTAGTTTACATACCAGGTATGTGTGTGTATGCTGTACTCTTTCTCCCTTTATTTGAAAACACTTTGGGTCATTTCCTTTGGCCATTCCACAATACAGCATTGGTTTGGCTTCCATGTCACCATATTTGAAGGACTGTGTCCCGGTAGCAGAATTTATGGTATTCCCATTGTTGGGTGTACTTCTGATCCTTTGCTTCTACAGCACTTGCCTCTCCTAAGATAGTCATACAACTAACTGATCAGGGGATGGACTTCACCACTCATCATGTCTCTTGGATTCTATTAAATAGACCACTCTTTGGCTTTAGACCAGGAAAAAGGAGACAACCCTAGCCATCTACCAAGCCTCACTCTAAATGGTCATATGTACTTCTTGGTCTGAGGACAAGTCTCCAATAAGGGAGAGGAGAGGGAATGCTTCATGTTTGAACTGCAGTGAGTTACGGCTCCTGTTTCACCACCCAAACCTATGGCAACTCCTACACATTCCTCTTGTCTGTAATTGCCAGAGGTTTGGGTTTGTCACCTCAGTTCCACTCAAGCATTGAAAAGGTTCTCTGGAGTCTGGGGTGTGCCCAGTGAAAAGAGGGGAACTTTTTCATTATCCACAAACCTCTCTATACCTGCTTTGCAAAAATTATAATGGAGTAACTATTTTTAAAGCTTATTTTTCAATTCATAAGAAAAAGACATTTATTTTCAATCAAATGGATGATGTCTCCCTCTTATCCCGTATTCCTCAATGTTTGCTTGAATTTTTTTTCTTCTCTATACCTACTTCCTATTACTTAGTTCTTTCCTGCTCAGGTCCCTTCATTTGTACTTTGGAGTTTTTCTCATGTAAATTTGTATAATGGAAAATATTGTTCAGTTTGGATAGAAAGCATGGAGAATTAAATAAAAAGATAGCTGAAAATCAAATTGAAGAACTTTATTTCTGTGTAAAGTTATTTAAAAACTCTGTATTATAAAAAAAGGCCAAAAAAGTGCTATGTAATTGATGTGAATATGCGAATACTGCTATAATAAAGATTGACTGCATGGAGAAATCTTAAGATTATTTTCTAGCATTGACATCGAATAATAGTAGTTACTGGCTATTGACAGTCCAAGCTAAAATGCACATTTTATTTCAAAATGTTGATTGCTGCTTGATGGGTAGAAGTTAAAGTTGGCCAGATTCCTGCATGGTCTAGCCAACTTGTAATAGTCTTTTTATCAAGTTTTGGTGATGACCCTCAAGTATTGTTTGACCTTCTGCATCTCTGGCTTAAAGTAACTGTTCTCTGTGTAACCACATACTTGAAAGTATAATTTAAAATTTTAGCTGGGTGGTGGTGGCTCAGGCCTTTCATCTCATCAGCTGGGAGGCAGAGGTGGGTGGATGTCTGAGTTTGAGGACAGCCAGGGCTACACAGAGAAAACCTGTCTCCAAAAAGAGGCAAGCTGGTGTGTAGAAATTATCTCAGTTATCTCAGAACTGTTCAAAAACAAACCTTTGTGACACAGCTTGCAATCACACACTTTCTGTAGTACCAGACTCTACACACACATCTGAAGCTGAACATGTTTTCAGGGATGGTTCCGGATGGGCCGACTTTATGTATCTAATTTCAGAATCTTTATTTTGAAAAACACCTGAAATATCTTCAGACAAAACAAACTACCAGTTTCCAGAAAAAAAGATGACTTTAAAACTACACACCTGGAAACCCTCTAAGAACAGTATAAAAGGACAGAAAAATTGCCAGGAGGGTGCAGGCTTTCAGGGATCTGTTTCTGACCTTTCCACACTATGTGTGTCTCTAACCTAAAGATGCTGTCGGGACTTAGCGTTCTCTGAACTATGGTTTTCTCAACTGAAGAAAAAGTTATTCTGTATTTATGAACTTGTTTTCTAAATGACCATTCCTGATTACAAGTTATTACTGCTTTGCTTTTCAATGTGTCATACATGGAAGTTTTCTATAATATTTGTCACCAAAATATGGATGTTTTACTTACATTTCAAAATGCTTTTACAAAGAACTCTCCCATGCCAGCTCTTCTGAAAGGGCTGTGGTCATCATACCTTACTGTCTGGGTTATATATAATCTCCCAAACTCACAAAACTAATAGAGAGTCATTAAAAAGAGAATACTAATCCCAAGAAACTCTGAAGGACATGCCTCACCTAAGTCTATGCAGCCAGAACCCAAGATCAGTACACAATGGTGTTGAAACCATCAGGACAAGATGAAACCTAAATGGAAATGGGTGTTTACTTCTCAACAGAGAGTTCACAGAAGAGGATGCTTGCCAGACAATGCTCCACTTACACTTGTTGTCTTTATCAACCAGGTAAGTCACTGAGAAGTGGAGAAAGTGGAGGCTATTGAGGTAGGTCAGCACAGCAGCTTAGCCTACTGACATTTCCTGGACAGCACACACTTCTATCCTGTAGATGGAAAGATGGCACTGGAAAGCAGAAGAGCCAGCTTGTTCTAGAGAATAGTTTGGGGACAAGTGAAACCAAAATTGTGGGAGGCCTGCCCCCACTTTTTCCCCATGGGTACTCTTGAGCAGGCAGAAGCAAGAAATATTTAGATAAAAATAAGAGGAGAGAGACAGAAACACAGGACAGCCTCGGGAGGGCCTGGGTCAAAACCCATCAGCCCCTTCTGTCTCTTCTAAAGGGCTTTTTAAAGGAATGCCAAAGGGTAGAGCAAAAGACCTCCCCGCAGCACAGCCAAGTACAGACCATCCTAAACACCTGGTGAGCCAACCCCTAATGCAGCCCTGCTGGGTAAAGCAAGCTCAGATCTCACTAGGAAACCTCTGTGGGCTCCCACACAAAATGACATCTGTAGCACACTGCCTTTAATCTCAGCACTTGGGAAGCACAGGCAGGTGGGTCTCTGAGTTCAAGGCCAGCCTGATCTACAAAGTGAATCCCAGGACAGCCAAGACTACACAGAAAAACCCTGTCTTAAAAAAAAAATGACATGTCTTCCTGTAATAGCATTTAACAGGTGTTCTTATATAATGCTTTATCTCAGCCTTATTATCTACTTGTCTTATTAAAGACGCCATAGGAAACTAGTAAAATTACAGAAGCATACTACACTATTGCCGTGAGTCATTCCTCATCTTTTGTTTACAAAGACCTAGCTATTTACCAAGCTTCACGCTAAAACTTACTTTGGAATACACTTTCAGCACTCATTGAAGCCAGTAAGAGAGCCCCTAAACTTGCTTGGGTTTTTTGTTTTGTTCTTTGGTTTTGTTTTTGAAGAGAAGTGGCACCACATCTGTGAAAAGTTTACAGCTTAGTCTCCATGTGTGGGCTTTCCTGTGAAAATCAGACCCAGCTTAGATAAAATGTTTTAAAAAATATTAATTGCAAACAGTAAATAATTGCTTCTATTTAGTGCAGTGGTTCTCAACCTGGGGGTCAAACAACCCTTTCTCAGGTCACCTAAGACCATTGAAAAACACAGATATTTACATTACATTCATAACAGTAGCAAAATTACGGTTATGAAATAGCAACGAAATGTCAAGGGGTCAGCATTAGGAAGGTTGAGAACCACTGCTCTAGAGATTATTTCCTTGTGCTAGCCATAGGTCTAAGCTACTTTACAAATAGAGAAATTAAGGCACAAGATTAAAATAAGTACTTTGCCCACACTCAGCAAATAAAAGGTAGGCTTAGGATCAGATCTGGCCAATTTAATTCCAGAGCTTGGGATGCTTTCTCTCTCAAATTGTACATTGAGGCCCATGAGTGGGTTGTAAAACCAGTTTGGGATGTCTCCACTGGCCATGTCTTTTTGTGTTTGGTTTTTCAAGACAGGGTTTCTCTGTGTAGCCCTGGCTGTCCTGGATCTCACTCTGTAGACCAGGCTGGCCTCGAACTCAACAGAGATTCGACTGCTTCTGCCTCCTCAGCACTGGGATTAAAGGCATACGCCATCAGGCCTGACTCCACTGGTCATGTTTTAAGTCCACATACTAGAATAAACAGAAAGTACTGTTTGGGAACTTTGAATCATGTAGAAAAACTAAGATTTGACTGAAGAAGAGTGACTGTACTCATATTACAGTTACAGCCGGACAGCCAGGACCTAAGTTTTGGCTTGGCAAATTTCCAACCTATCTACTCAACTCCATCTTATAAAACAGAAATAGTACTGTGAAGATTTAATGAACTAACACATGCTTATCACGTCGTCTGGCCTGTGTGACAATCTGCTTTGAGTTTCCATTATATGTCACCATCAAACATGGCTATATTTAATGTTTCTTTGGGACCCTCTTCCATTTAAATATTTTCTCATGTGCTATACAGCCATGTAGAGGGCATTTCTTTGAGCAGGTTGGGGAGTTTTTGACATTTGGCTTGCATCAGTTTCCCAGCCCAAACATGGAAATGAGGATTCCAACATTCTTCTAAACAAAAGAATATTTCAAGTTTGCTACTAAGCAATTCTTTGCTTCTAAAGAAAAGAACTAAGGGGATTATCCTGCTTAAATTCACTGTTGTAGACCATGTTCTAGGTGGCTTTATGCATAAGGAGTGGGAAGATAAGGAGACCTGGAAAGCACAGCTCACCCTCACACAGACGTGAACACATCGCCCATGGAAGTGCCCCCAGTGCCACAGCTGGGATTACTGTGGTTGCCAGTGAAAAAGACAGCTGTTCTAGTTGTTTCAGCTGCTGCTGCTACTGTGACCTCTGGAAACTGAAGAAAAAGTAGAAAACTGTATGTTACAGGAAACCCTGTCATTCCAGCTCGAAGCCTGCCACAAATTGGTCAAGATACTTACTGTCAAACACAAACGAGCAACCATTACCATCTATTCCCACCCTCTCCTTACTTGTTCACAGCCACAGTAGGCTGTTTCTCAGACGAAATTGGTCTTCATCTAGACCTTAATGGGTCACCTTGTTCCTAAACACACTTCCTGTAAATCCTACTTACTCAGGGTACAGTTAAAACGCCTTAGTACATCATCCAAGCTCTGAGCAAATCTCACAAGTACTGACTTATCACCTGTCATTCCTTCTTAAAGCCCTCTAAAAACAGAATCCTTTTGTCTGTGTGATTTTGAGATGGGTACAATCCTCTGGCCTCACTCTCCACAATGCTAAAAGTATAGGTGTGTAAGCCAGGCGGTGGTGACACACGCCTTTAATCCCAGCACTCGGGAGGCAGAGCCAGGCGGATCTCTGTGAGTTCAGGGCCAGCCTGGTCTACAGAGCGAGATCTGGAACAGGCACCAAAACTACACAGAGAAACCCTGTCTCGAGAAAAAAAAAAAAAAAAAGAAAAACTATAGGTGTGTAACACCCCAATCCCCACCTCTCAATCAATCTTGGCACTGTACTCCCAAGGCTAAGTTGGTCAAAACATAATGAAGTAGTTAGGTCCTCAAGCTATGTTACACCAGACTTTTCTCTGTAGATAGATGAAAATTCTATCTTCCTCATAACTGCTATGATGCCACAGAAAGCGAAATACCCTGGAACAAAATTCTGGAAAAAGTAGGAAATCTTACCCTTATTCCCAGTACTAAGAAATTCCGAGTTAGGCATGGCTTATGAGTCCTACAGGAGATTCGGAAAGAATGGACTCTGCTGACCCCTAACCTCTAGGGCAACAAGCAAGCTGCAGCAGCTATACGGTCATATCACCTGTCAACACATATGTAACTAAGGCAGGAGCTAAGGAGAGGCGTGGTACTTAAGTCATGCATAAGCTGGAGTCAGGCCAGGCGGTGGGTGGCGCACGCCTTTAATCCCAGCACTCGGGAGGCAGAGGCAGGCGGATCTCTGCGAGTTCGAGGCCAGCCTGGGCTACAGAGTGAGTTTCCAGGAAAGGCGCAAAACTACACAGAGAAACCCTGTCTCGAAAAACCTAAAAAAAATAAATAAATAAGCTGGAGTCAGACATAACCTAACCACTCACCAGTGTGTGATGCTAAACAAGAAACTATCTCCTGTTCCTATGGGCCTCAAAGAGATAACGGCTACCTACATCATAGGGGACCCACGAGGATGAGCTGAAAGG